ATAAAGATCTTTTAGAGCATCAGTGTAAGAACGTTATTTTCCCCTTCCTTACTATAAAGATCTATTAGAGCATCAGTGTAAGAACGTTATTTTTCTTTCTTTACTTCAATTTCTTTCTTATTGAACAGTTTCTATGTGCTGAGCTATTTTCGATATTTATTTCTTATTTTATACAATATACTGGTATTCCTACAGAAAGTGCCTTGGGTAAGCTTGTTAAAAAGGTTTTATTATATACGTACTAAAATGTCAAAAAGTGTGACGCCATTAAGAGCTGAGAAACTTCAATGTCGTAAAAATAATTGGGATCAAAAACTTCTTGTTATCGTCCTGTGATAAAGGATCTTTTTATTGGGAAACTTTCAGATGTTTCGAGTCCTTATCTAAGTACTTCTAACAAGAGTTAGACTTTTAAACTCGGAACAACAGTTAATTTGTTAAATTATGAAAGTCATTGAAAGATTAGAGTCTCAACATATTATGTTTTTTTACAGGTGAGCTCAATAGCAAGGTGTTAACAAATGAGAACAAATAAAGAAGTCGTTGTCTTTATAGATTAAAAATTTCTAAAGAGAGAAAAGTGTAAGATCTTTCTTCTTAATAAAAGAAATATCACGACTATTTGATATTACAAATACATAATTAAAAACAATAATGAAATACAATTTCTTAGTAAAAAATAAGTCATGATATTTATATGTTAACATTTTCATAATAATAGAAAAGTCATAATATTTGTTAACAATTTCATAACGTTAGAAAAGTCATCATAATTATGTTGACTGTCTGATAATGTTAGAAAAAGTCATGATAATTATGTTGACTGTTTCATAATAATAGAAAAGTCATGGCACTTAAACTTTAAGAAATGTTTAATGAAAGAAATCGATGACATTTCGATTTCAGGAAATCGATAATAAAAGAAAGATAGTGGCATTTAAAACTTAAATAAACATCAAAATTTGAAAAGTTATACACTTTAACTATATTTAACTAGATATCAAAATATGAAGAGTTATACACTTTAACTATATCTAAATAGATATCAAAATATGAAGAGTTATACACTTTAACTATATCTAAATAGATATCAAAATATGAAGAGTTATATGACTTTAACTATATCTAAATAGATATCAAAATATGAAGAGTTATATGAAGTTCAAATGAGTTGATTTAAAGAATTTCTTGGAAGAGTCATATAATTATTATGTTGAATTAGGAGTTTTGTCTTGACGTGTAAAGTATATATTCATGACTTCTAACTATTTTCTCTGTCTTTCTTGAAGGGCTTTGGAGTATTGTCTCGACATTGGGAACATGAATCTTACGGCAATCAGAACAATCCGTGTCTTGCGGCCAATTAGAGCTATCAACAGGATACCAAGTTAGTATTAGTAGTGATGAACTAAACACGGGCTCATTTTTTATTCGCTGAGTCACTGTCTGGTTTCTGACTCATTTCGGTTAACAGAAGTTATTGTCTAATATCTGGTTCATTTCGGTTAACAGAAGTTATTGTGTGGTATCTGGCTCATTTCGGTTAACGGAAGTTATTGTCTAATATCTGGTTCATTTCGGTTAACAGAAGTTATTGTTTAATATCTGGTTCATTTCGGCTAACAGAAGTTATTGTGTGGTATCTGGTTCATTTCGGTTAACAGAAGTTATTGTCTAATATCTGGTTCATTTCGGTTAACAGAAGTTATTGTGTGGTATCTGGTTCATTGCGGTTAACAGAAGTTATTGTGTGGTATCTGGCTCATTTCGGTTAACAGAAGTTATTGTTTAATATCTGGTTCATTTCGGTTAACAGAAGTTATTGTTTAATATCTGGTTCATTTCGGTTAACAGAAGTTATTGTCTAATATCTGGTTCATTTCGGTTAACAGAAGTTATTGTGTGGTATCTGGTTCATTGCGGTTAACAGAAGTTATTGTGTGGTATCTGGTTCATTGCGGTTAACAGAAGTTATTGTGTGGTATCTGGTTCATTTCGGTTAACAGAAGAAAACAGTAACTATTTTATGTATTAAGCTACGCTGTTATTAAAGACTGTATCTAAAATGGACCATTTCTATTTTGCATGAATTATACTACTCTTTAAAGTGTGTATCAAGAATCGTTCACTACTGTTTAGTATGATGTTTTTTTCTCTCTCTAGAACTGTTTATTTATTGTTTTTATTTTCATTGCTTCTATCACGTGGCTTAGAGATACATCAATTAACATTTTTCTTAAACACAGTAAATCTGGATTAGTGATTTAATTTTTGAGAAAATTTCACCGACTTTCATCTTATTATAAATATCTAAAACGAAAAGTGAACTTTCTAACATTCATCATTCCAGGTGACTCCCTCTAGTTGTGGTGTTAATCGTAAACTCGTGATGTACAAGGAATCCGTTGTGAAAGTTACATATCACAAAGCATACCTTGTATTACACATCTATTATTTTTTATATCTCCTCAGTTTTGAAGTGATTAAAATATCCTTGTAACTTCGCTATTTTGTTAATATTTTAGCTCTATCCATAATGATACAATTTCAGAACATAATATTTTGTTAGAATCGCAGCCTAAATGTACGGCGCTTAAAGCATTTCTGGAGCTGAGCGCAGAACATCAACGTTAACAAAATGAGTCAGCAATGCAACAAATGAAAGGAAATAGTACATGTTGAAATGTGGATTTTTTGATAAGTTAGTTGATCTATTGTCTGCTGTACACACGGATCTTCGGTGACGAAACGAGAAATAAAGGTTCTTTTTTCAGAATCAATCAAAAGCAAAGATCGTCGTTTTTTGTGGAAATTGCCTCTTTGAAGATATATTTCAGGTACAACCACAAGAATAGCAAGAATTTTTCTTCTTGTTATCAGTTTTCTATGAGAACACAGAGATCAACAGGACGTTATTTCGTGTTTTCTTCAATGCCGTGTCTCTCAACATGATATTTTTTATTACATGATACTAATATGTAACACCATGGCACTTATGACAGTTGTGTTCAACTGTTTTATGTGTCACATACTAATAACATATTGTAAAGTGGACCATGTTACTAATGTGTCATATTATTATAAAAGTTAGTCACGTATCATGTTACTAATCTGTCATATTATTATAGAAGTTAGTCACGTATCATGTTACTAATGTGTCATATTATTATAGAAGTTAGTCACGTATCATATTACTACTGTGTCATATTATTATAGAACTTAGTCACGTATCATGTTACTAATGTGTCATATTATTATAGAACTTAGTCACGTATCATGTTACTAATGTGTCATATTATTATAGAACTTAGTCACGTATCATGTTACTACTGTG